CGCCGCCGCTGGCTACCTTGCAGTACCTCCCGCCGGACCGAGTAGACAGTGAGAGGAGAGCTGCACTCACAGCCCTTCCTCTCAGCTGCCACAGGAGTTCTAGCACAGTGCTGTGCTAGAACTCCTGTATTGGAGGTGACAGGTTCAAAAAAGATTGTAAGAAATTATGGAAGAAAAATTATTTGGACCAATGGCAAAGCCCAATGTCCAATCAAAAAAAACAAAACAAAAAAACACTGAAGACATTGATCTCGATGCCTCACCAGTGACAAGCAAGTAAGGGACAGGGAGGCTCCTCGCTGTCTCCTCCCTTCCCCACAAATAGCTCGGTGACTGGGTTGGAGGCGGGGCATCAGCAAGCTGGGGGCGGGGCATCGGTGGACAGGGGGAATGCCTCACCTAGCATGGACCTTACTGAACATCACTGGGGAATATAGGGAGTAAATGGCTCGACAACTACATGGGGTATAGGCAGAAAAAGGCACTGGGACAGAAGGGTAATATAGGGAGGAAAAGGCTCTGGGAATCAAGGGGGATATAAGAAGGAAAAGGCTCTGCAACTACATGGGATTATACGGAGTAAAAAGGTTTGGGACTGAAGGGGAATATTGGGAGAAAAAGGCTCTGGGACTCAAGGGGGATTAGGGAGGAAAGGGATGTGCAACTACATGGTAATATAAGCAGTTAAAAGGCTCTTGGACTTGAGAGTCTTGGGACTACATGGGAATAATGAGGGTAAACAGATCCGGGACTCATGGGGGATGATGGGAGGAAAGGCACTGGGACTACATGGGAATTTAGGGAGATAATAGGCTCTGCAACACAGGGCGTGTTCACACCACATGTGTGCGTTTGGGGTGCCATTCACATGAATGCCAACACACCTCCTGCATTGTTAATGCATGGTGGGTGCGTTGTGAGGTAGCGTGTGTTAATAGCACAGAAACAGGGCCGGCCTTAGGGGTGTGCGAGCCGTGCGGCACTTTCTCGCACAGGGCGCCTAAAGGCCTAAGGCCAGCCCTGCACAGAAATGTGCGATTAATGCAAGTATGCTGTGTTAACAAACCCTCAAGGGGGATATAGCGAGGAAAAGGCTCTGGGACTTACTAGTTTCCCAGGAGCACATTGCACCCCTTCACCACCAAACAGCTTTTCACAGCCCCCCCCCATGTTTTTCACCCTATGCAGCACTTTTTTTGGACAGACTGTTTTGTTTGTATTATTATTTTTTTTGTACCATTATTTTGTTTGTATTATTTATGAGGCATTGCCTGTTTTTCGAGATAAATACCTGCATCAGCAGACAGCAGGGATGCAATAAAGCCACACGATTTGTTATGGTCCTCTTGCCATGGACCTAATGATTAACTAGCACCCAGGCTTTGTAAAATGTTGAGGATAACCTCTGCAGAGCGTCCATTAACCCCTTTTCCCTGACATCACAGGGGAAGAACGGAGACATTTAGCCTTGGGCTGAGAGGAGATTGGTAATTAGTTTTGAAGCAGCAAGGTCATTAGAGAAGTATGAATGATGCGCTAGACCTGAACACTGCGCTGGAGAGGTCCGATCCTCGTGCTGTGCTGCGGTCACCCCATTGGCTGGCGCTCTCAATGGATGTGTATACAAGGCAGAGCTGAGCAGTGCACGGCAAGCAGTGTGTTCACTAAGCACTCCGGTCCGCAACAGCCGACGTCTGCACTTCCCAGGTAGCTCCACTTGCTGCCAAAAGCTGTGGACAGAACTGACAAACTTCCTAGCTACAGGGAAAACTATACTGAGGGGAAACATGGACAGCGACCTACAGGAATGAGCCTTTTCTATGGAATAACTCACACTGCACAGGGAAGGAGCTGCCTTATCCTGTGGATCCAAGGGGCATCCCATCCTTTGTGATTCTTCTCCTGGATGCAGCTAAGAATGAGAACTGTGATCAGCAAGTGGTAATCCTAACATGCATTTAGGGCTTCCCTCTGCACACTCACTGCAATGGTAAGACTCCTATGACTTGTGTGTTGTGTCTTATATTTAGCATTGCTGCTGATCAGGCTGTCAAAACTGGAACATCATCTGTCACCCATAGGATCTCAGGTGTCTGTTTGCATTATAGCTATTATATTGCTTTTTTTATAACTGTAAAAGCAGCTTTTGTGTTTTACAACTATTTTAAAATTCTGCTAAGCCACTAAAATGTGACATGCAGCAGCAGTAGGTTGCTGGTATGTGGATATTATAATTGGAGCTCAGAGAAACAAAAGTCATTGCCTAAAGCAACCAGTGTGATACCTTTATATTACAGGTAGGATGTACGTAATCTGATGGGTTGCTCATGAAACATTACTTTTCTCTACTGTATTTTTTACAACTCAGCTGCTGCACAGTAAAATCTACTTACTGCAATAGGTGCAAGTAATGGGGAAACCCCAACGTGCTTCTGATAACTGGCACTGGGCATGTGTTTGTGGTCTGTTAGGACACTGTTATAGCTTGGTGAATCCTCTTTTTGTACCTAAACACAATGTTAGATGTTGAGCCAATGTCTTAAAAAAAAAAAGCAAGTGGGAATTCAAGAATCGTCATATCTCTGTAGTGAGATCTCTAAAAGCATCTGGTGGCAGGGTCTGTGTCACTGGGTAAATTGCTGGGAACCAGCTGAGTATCAGCAGGAGTCAAATTTATGGAAAGGGGTCGCGATAAGCTTCTCTAGTACTCCATGATATAAATAGTCATGTCTGTGTCAAAGCAGAAAAGCACAATGATCTAGTCAGCTTATATAAGTACAGCATTCAGTACAAGACAGGATGGAAGTTACAGTATTACATGCTCATTTCTCAAGGTTAAGCAATTATAGGTGGACTGTAGTCTCCTTAAAACATGTTCTTCTTTTCTACAAAAACATAATGTGCAAACTACTGAATCTCCTTGAATGGAAAAGACTGGTTAGAAGATAGTTGAAAGCTCAACAATGTTGTGCAAACTGCAGTCACTCCTAGCAACTGATCACAACTCACTTGATTATAGACACAACACTTAAAAAAGAACTCAGTGCAAAACTTTTCTTAACCCTTGCAGTGGGGCTACCCCCAAACTAATGGTTAAATGCGTGTTTATGTTTAGGTGCTAAAATAACAAAGTTATACTCACTTCATGCACGGTGCTGGCTGGCTGTGACAGCGCTTCCTCCAGTCTGCCTTCTCCTCCTTTGTTGTGATAGTATGTCCCCCAGCATCCTCACATCCAAAACACAGTGTATTGAACGTGTTGACTCACAGGACCTTAGACGGCTGGAGCGAAGGGGGGGGCGGAGAGTCTAGAAGGACCGGTCTAAGAGCCAGGCGGCTCCGAAAATTGGGTGGGTATACCTTTTTTTTTTATTGCAGTACGGGGGTAAGCCCCACTGCAAGGGTTAAGAAAAGTTTTTCCTGGGGACCATTTCGACTTCATTGCTTTTGGTTGCCAAAATGTGTACACCGTTATCCTTGATCTTTGCACTGTAGCTTATCGAATTCAATATTAAAGGGAGCCTGTCAAGACAGAAATATGAGAGCCGTCATTGCTGACCTTAAAGTTCAAGCTCCAGGGCTGTCATCCTTATCCTTACTTCACTACTGACTGATCTACAGTCCTAAAACAAGGTGCAAGCCAGACGTACAAAGTCTCATATGTCTAACAGAACAGAGATTTGTTTTCATAGCAGGCACATGGATTTAAAAAAAAAAAGATATGGCAAACTACATGTTTATTTACGGCAAACTACACTTGTCTAAGTTTAAAATCACCTGTAAATAAATCTTCAATTGGAGGGACAGACTTTATTTTGCAGCTAACCCTCGCTGATCCTCATTCCTTCTAAGTTGTCCCTCTTGCAGACAGACATTTATAAATAAAGATACTATTTTACTGGTAAACGTCACTAAACGCTCCTTCCAAATTTTAAACTATGACATTTGGTTTTTTTCAAATGTTAGTATAACAGAAAAGTGATGGTAAAAAGAAGCCCCGGTGAGTGAAACTGATCATTGTTTGCACATCATAAATTCTGTTGTCAAAGAAGTGTCCCTTGCCTTAGGAGGTACACTACGAATAAAGGAATAAGATGTACTAATTCATCCTTATGTCTGATGACTAAAAAACGGAGACAATATTACAATGCAGATTGTTTCTGGGCTTTTCTTCTTCAGGGTGAGTGGGAATACATTTTTACTTAGTATACATAGATTCACACTAAGCCAAGGCTGGATAAATCCCAGGAACTAGGTAGCTGATAATTACAGCTGGCCCCCAGCTCTTGAGGTTTTCTCTAGTTGTCAATGGAGCTGGCTCCTAAAAAAAATTCTGCTGGCTGCTGGATTGGACAGACTGGCTCCTGAATTTCATATTAATTTGTCCACCCCTGCTCTCAGCTTGCTACAAGTTTAGGCGCAGTCCAATTGCGGTAGAGGCTAATGAGTGTCTACAATCCTGTTGCTGTCGGTTAATGACACATCAGATACCTAGTCTGCCCATATTGGTCAATCTACCTAAAACTGATGTTTCATCTTCGGGAGATGCTGGAGAGTTAAACTGTCTACTGGTTTCTAATGTCCCTCACAGATGCAAGTTAGGAGCTCTCAATTCGATATAGTTGACATGGCTGTTTTGGAGGGGGATCCCATATTCACTGATGGGATTTTTTATTTATTTAATAGTATGGAGAATACTCAGGAGGAGTGGGAATAAGCAAAGGTGAATGGGAACACCCAGGAGTCTGAATGTGAGAGCAGAAGAGAGATATTGTGGTTGGAGTCCTCCAGAGATAAAAGAAGGCTGAGGGTGACATAGCTCACTAGATGCCACTTCATAACGGAAATGCCACCTTTAAAGAAGAACTCCAGGATTTAGAAAAGTTAACCCTTGCAGTAGGGCTGCCTCATGCACTGCAAGGGTTTACTGCTTGTTTTTCTCTAGAGGTGAAAATAAAGAAGAAATACTCACCCGATCCTCAGTCCTGTGGCAGTGACTCACCTCCAGCTGTGGTATGTCCCTCCATGTGCTTTGTTATACATGATGACAAGTTCTTAGACTGCCAGAGCCCAGGGGAGAAGAGGCTGCGGGGAACTGGTCTAGCAGCAAGGCAGTACTGATGATTGGATGAGTTTTTTATCTTTATTTTCGCCCCCTAAACAAAACAAGCAGTTAACCATTGCAGTGCAGGGTTAGTCCCACAGCAAGTACATAGACTCTAGGATTTTTCGAAATCCTAGAGTTCTGCTTTAAGTAGACCGACCTTTTAATTTATTTGAACATATTTCACTATAAAGTACCACAATTATTTAGGATTTTAAAGGATGCTGAACTCAGAAAAGGTTTCAATGTTAGCAATTTTTTAATGAGAAAAATGTGTTAATCTTGGCTGAAAGATGTGTCAAAACATTGATAAATAGACCTCTTAGTTGAGCTACATGCATAATAATACATTGCTTTTCTGTACATGAACAATTAACATTGTAAACAGCTACAGAAGTGTTTGCAATATATGCAGGGAATGTGTTTACTGGTGGCACTGTTGTATGAAATTTTTAACTGGTGTGAAAATGTTCCCTTTGCATATAAATATGACTGTCTATGTATTGGTGGTATGTAAATTTCATAAGACATAGCAAAGCCAAATATTCTATATCTACAAGAATCAGTGTGTGCCTCCATAGGTGTTCTGTAGCTAAAGAACACATGTCATTTGGCAAAGGTGTCTACATGCATACATTTTGGGTAACTAGAGGTCCTTGCACATAACATCTGCCTTGAAGTGCAACCTGAAATCTGGGGCTCTTTACTACAAAGTACATGTCAACACTTTCCGGCAGGGTAAACCAGGGGTGGACAAATATGGAATTGAGAAGCCAGTCTGTCCAATCCAGAAGTCAGCAGGATTTTTTTAGAAGGCAGCTCCACTGATAACAACTAGAGAAAACCTCAACATTTAGAAACTAGCTGTAATTTTTAAATAGCATTGGCTACCTGGCTCCTGGGATTTGTCCAGCCCTTGTGTAAACGTCCCTATTGGTCACTGAAGTCATCCTTAAAGGAGAACTATGGGATGAGTGAATTACACTCATCCTCATAGTTAGAGCTGACGTGTGACACTGAAGCTGTCACAGGTTGGTTCTATTGATCAGGAAGTCAGCAAACACATACAGCCGATCTCTGACTTCCTGATCCTCTCCCTGCAGAGAGTGGTGTTTGTCAGTCACCACTCCCCGCAGGGATTCCTCCTTTCCCTCTTTGATCTTCCAGCGATAACTGGAGGGATGGACAGGAGGGGGCAGAAATAGCTGGCCCTGCCTCCCGATGGCAGAACCCGCTGTCAATCAGTCAGTGGGGTGGATCTTGACAGTATTGTCGGGATCCCTCCCGGCTGCGGCGCTCTCAGTATATCGCAGGCAATAGCCCGCGATATACAGAGTTTTGGGTCACAGGAGGAGGTTAGTATATGTCCTCCCGTGACCCTAAAGAGAACTATGGGAAAAAAGGTTACCCCATTAATAGATATAAGCTAATGAGATGTACATCATATGAGGGGATTGGCCAGCCATCAACATTACCAAGTGTTGTTCATATTGTCAGATTATAGGGTTTTGGGGCCCCTAAGTACATGACCTTTAGGGCCCCATCATAGGGGCAGAATCTGTTCTGCTTAGCAGTGAATCCATGAATGGATATCCTGTTGAATCAGAGCCAAATGGAATGGAAACTTTTATGACATCCATGTCCGTTCAGTTTTTGCTCCATGGAGCTGAACATGTTAAGTCTACGGGTAGGTGTTTTCATTTAGTTACCTCTTTTTTTTTTTTTACCTAGACGGACTTGGAGGTAATTGGATGTACACAGACGCATGTCCGTTTACCCTGCCTGCTCATAGACCAACATTGAGCTTCCGATCAAACCCTCCTGAAAAACTGACAGACGGAAAGGGGCCTTATGCATGTAGTCACTTCATTATTGTTTGTTAAAAG